AAGGGCAGGAGTGTAGGAGTAGGGGTTAGGATGATGGCTTGGAGTGGGCATCATTTAAGACTTAAACCAGGGCTGTACACAAAGCAATCCACACACCAAACAGTAGTTCCACAGGCTGCGACCTGAAACCTTCACATCTACTCTTAACAAGCCCCCCAGGCTAGAGGGCTGTTGCAAGGGGAGAAGGCAGAGACCCCAGACCATGCAATCAACAGCAAGGTGATTGTGTGATGTGTCTTTTCACAGTTGAGTTATTAATAGATGTGCCCCACCAGTTATAATAGGAATCAATTTAAATATACTTTATTGATCCCAGAAGTTCAATTATGTGGACAGTGGTTACATTTAGTGCAACTTATATATTTCAAATGGGCAAAAAATAGAATTATTTACAGGATGTTAAGATAAATTTACTTTGAATGGGAGCTTCCTTTCAAGTACTTTGAGGTCTGCCAGATGTATCCAGAAAATTTGCTACCGTGGAAAATGAGGACTGCTTAAATCAAAAAGGGAAGGGCCTGTGGTTTTTCTTTTTGATTAGTTTGTGTAACACTGTCCTTCAGGCAACTGAGGGAGTTTCATATTTTGTTTAGACATCAGTAGGCACTGAAGCTCTTGCAGGACAACTTTGATGCTATATGTATTATATGTATTCTGCCATTTTGCTAGCACTGATAGGGCTCTTGGGTCCACCACTCCATTAGAACTATTAACTCCATTCATACTGATTTTTGTTACAAATCTGACAAAGGAGGGTGCTTCTGAGTATTTAGGTCCACATTTTATTTTAAGGCTGCATATTTGGTTTTCATAAATTGTTCTTGGAGGCCCAATTATCATCCCTGTTCATCTTTTAAGTGTCATGTCTTATTACTATCTAAATCCCAGCTAATTGTGCCATCTCCTACTCCTTTCTGGCCTTCTTTGAGTTCTTCCAGCAGTTAGAAATTTTACTCCTGAGCCTGTGGTTGCTGCCTTCTTGCATTGCAGTCACTTTTTGTTACAAACCGTTTTTTTTTTAATTTTATTTTTTTGAAATTTTATTCATTTAGTTGTTTTATTTCTATACATTTAAGGAGTACAAATGCAATTTCGTTACATGGATATACTGGGTAGTGTTGAAGTCTGGGCTTTCAATGTATCTGTCTCCCAAATAATGTACATTGTGCCCATTAAGTAATTTCTCATCACTCTTTCTCTTTCTATCCCCAACTCTTCTGAGTCTTCAATGTCTGTTATGCCATACGTTTTGTCCATGTGTACACATTATTTAGCTCCTACTTGTAAATGAGAATATGTGGTACTTGATTTTATGTTTCTGAGTTGTTTCACTTAATATAATGGCCTCCAGTTCCATCCATGCTGCTGCAAAAGACATGGCTTCATTCTTTTTAAAAAACTGAATAGTATTTCATTGTGTATAAACCACATATTCTTTATAAAGAAAAGAAATCATTATACAAACTGTTTTTAATTGGATTATGAGTTGTAAAGTTTCTTTATATAGTCTAGATACAAGTCCTTTGTCAGATATATGATTTACAAATATTTTCTCCCCTTATTTGGGTTGTCCTTTCACTTTCTTAATAGTGTCCTTTGAAGCACAAAAAGTCTTTAATTTTGATAATGCCCAACGAATTAATCTTCTCTTTTTTCATTTGTGATTTTGATGCTGTATCTAAGAAATTGTTGCCTAGTCTAAGATTGTAAATATTTAGTTCTGCATTTTCTTGAGTTTTCTAGTTTTTGCTCTTACACTTATGATTCAATTTGAGTTACTTTGGGTGAATTATATGAAGTAAGAATACAAATTCTTCTTTTGTGTGTGGAAATCCAGTTGTTCCAGCACAATTTTATGAAAAGACTATGTTATTTATCCATTGAACTTATTTGGCACCTTTGTCAAAAAAAAAAAAAAATCAGTGGACCACAAATGGTAGAGTTTACTTCTGAAGTCTTAGTTCAATCTGATTGATCAATCAATCAATCTATCTATCTATCCATCCATCCATCCTTCCTTATCCAATGCCATACTGCGTTAATTACTACAGGCTTTTAGTTTTGAAATCTGGAAGTCTGAGCCCTCCAACTTTTTTGTTTTCTTCAAGATTGTTTTGGTTACTTAGGATCCACTGCATGTGTCCAAGGTCATAATATTTACAGTATAGCTAGAGACACCAGAATATAATATTTAATTTTCATTTAGTACATAAATATTGACTTTTTATGTCTACTATGCTTCTGAGAAGCCAATCTAACCTAGTTAATGAAGTGGAAGTATCACCCAGAAATACCTTCATCTAAACAGTTACAAGAAATAAAGTATTAACAAATGTATAGTTCAATATGAATATTTATTAATAACACTAGGCCTATAATCCATATATTACATAGTATTCATGTTAATCGTGTCTGGGAACTTTTCTAAAATATAGCTATCCAAGAAAATAGGGGAAATCATGTTTATTTACCCTCAAAAAGAAACCAGTTTTATTCAGTTTAGTTTTAAATAACTACAGGTTATACAAAAAGTGCTGTGATCAGCCCTCTAATAAAACATCAATGGGTGAGAGTTGGGGGATGGGGAAGAGGGTTAATCAACAGGTCATATATTCCTAAGCAAATTATAGTATCAAGAATCTGATTTTGAAAATCATCCTAGAACATGGTCACCTATGGAATTGTGGGTGACATGCCCAATTATATTGCATCTTGCTTGCTGTCATTTGAACCTGACCTTTTTAAATTCAGAGAATATTTTTCAATTTTTGTGTTTTAATAATTAATATGAAAATGTATAAATTTACTAGTAGTATAAATTTACAGTCTTTAAGTCAGCATTCATAGGCTTAGAGAAAAATGTTAGATTTTGAGTATGACTTGTAATTTGTTACCTTTCTAGTACAGTATTTTGTCTTTGTAAGATTTACACAGCATATTCTGATAAATGTCTGCCTATCAAAAATGCGTATACATTTTTTGAAGTATATTGAAGCTTTTGTATTATTTAAAATATTCCTGGCGACTTAACCATCATTCTGGTTTTTTTCCTTTACTTAAGTTATCGGAAAGGAGATTATGAACAAAACAGAGGGAACTCCTTTATGGGTTTATACAGAAGAAATCATGTTATTCTATGTTATTTTATCATGGCACCTTTAGTAGTTTGCAACTCCTGTGAGCTCTGGGATTTTTTCTTGTTTGTTTGTTGTGTATCATGCCTGTGAGTAAAATTAAATTTTAAAACTTAACATTACCAAGTACTTTTTAAAGGTCCTATAATAAGGATTCTTCTACCGATCGTGAGATGAGGTCAAGTCTCTCCTAAACTCATGAAACTTTAAAAAATGGGAAGCACAAACAAAATTGGAATTTTCCTTTAGTATATGTCAAGATAATTTATATTTATGATGATCTGAAATGTAGTAGCAAAGAGATACAAAATTGTTCCATAAGTGTTAGAGCCATGTCACTTATAGTTTTATTTTTGAGAATCCTTATATTACAAAGCAGAGGAGCACAAAGCATGGTTTGTACTGCCATCCCTAATATCAAGAAGCTGAAGGAGGACAAAGTCCACACTCCTGAATGTCTTTTCCGCCTTTGTACTATCATCCTTATTCCACCATGTCAAGTTCATCTAAAAACATATTATTAATATTTTAACATATGACAGACTTGGGATATATACTATATCCAAATAAGATCTCGATTTTAGGGAAATTAATTAAACACAAAAATCATTTTCTTTATTCTCTTTCTAGCCACTGGTTGCTTTTCTAAAACAAACCCTTAAGGTTACTATACTTCTTTGAAGAGGTGGTTTTATTTTCTGTTAGAGCCCAGATGGAACCAACTATTCCTATTGAAACTTCTCACAACCGCTGATATCCCCTATATTCCAACTTCCTACCTAGCTTTTACTTTAGTTCTATATGTGCAGTATCTAAAATGTCTCATCTCAACTAGCATATTTATGAATTCCTTCCTCTAAGTTCATAGGACTTCTAAATCCATCTCTGTTTTCTTCCTGTTTAATTTTGATTGCTTCTGACCACATCAACTCAGGTGACCCTAAAGCTCATAGGACACACAGGACGTGCAGTCAGGCTCACTCTAGCAAAGCACAAAGCACTATGTTGACAGCTCTTTCCAATAGAAAGCCATTGTAGGTGTGTAAGCTAGAAAATGTTTTAGAACCTGTAGCAGAGGGAAGGAACAGCTGTAAAAAGACAGAAACACAGAAGAGTCTCAATCAGTATTTTCATTTTTTAGAAGAAATTTATTACTGAAGGGGTAAAAGCTTGCTGCCTAGAAAGCACTCCCAGCACATTGTAGCATTCTTGTTATGGTTCCTGCACTGCTAAAGGCAAGATAACAATATATATGTCCCTCTTTATGAGGATTGGCATCTTTCTGGGAAGTGTTTTGGTTGCTCTACTTCAGTTACACCAGTGTCCTTTGAGCTCTGCCTTGGTGGAGTTGGAAGACAGCTCATCTTCATTTCTTGAATACTTCATATTCAGAAGTCATACATACTAGATATAAAAATATTTACACAATGACAAATTAAGGATTTTCTTAGAAACAGCTACTCCAATATACTTAATAGGTAATTCTCTTAAGTTGCAATCTGTCTGGTGTTTGGAACATATGAATCCATGTAATCACTACTTTTCAGGTTAGTGAAAGGGACTAAAAGATACCTTTTCCCGTATTTAGGAGGGTGAGTTTTATGAATGATTTTAAATATTATGTACTTAATGCTTATGTTTATTTCTTCATACAAAACATTTTTGAGGGCCAGGCACAGTGGCTTATGTCTGTAATCACAGCACTCTGGGAGGCTGAGGTGGGTGGATACTTTTACCCAGGAATTGGAGATCAGCCTAGGCAACATGGTAAAACCTTGTCTCTGCAAAATTTTTTTTTCAATTAGCCCGTTGTGGTGGTGTACACCAGTAGCCCCAGCTACTTGGAAGGCTAATGTGGAGGATTGCTGGAACCTAGGAGGTCAAGGCTGTAGTGAGCCACGATCATGCCACTGCATTCCCACATGGGTGACAGAGTGCAACTTGGTCTCAAAAATAATAATGTTTGAGGAATCATTCCATTTAAGCAGGTACTAAAGAAGAAATTAAGGGCTCTTCCTTGCTGAAAGCTTTCTCCCGAGAAACAGAAACTTGGCATCTTCATGCAAAACTTCAAATGACTTATTATTAGGTCAATAAAAATGAAATGGTGTTGAAGCACTAAGATTGTTAAAGAAGCTTAAAGATTCTATTACCATATTAGTGTTTACACAGTAGTGTATCAACTTTTATTCAACATTACCTCCTTGCTTTATTGAGGCAAATATATTTTGTATAAAGTATTGAGAATATCTGAGGTGGTTCCTGTACCTCTTCTGTGTTCTCAGTCTTATCTTGGTATATAAAACCATTCAGGCTTTAGGAGTATCATTTTTTTCTAGATAGAATTTTCCAGATGAACCTATAATATTCTGGAATAAACAACAAACCATTGTTTATAAAATTTAGAACAACTTTGATAAGCCTCAAGATTCCATAGCAGGACCATTGCAATTCAGATAACTGGATGAGGCAGGGTAGCATAGAGCACTAGAAACTTAATTCTGTTGCTAACGGACATGTGATCTTGGGCTAATCATTTAAACCCTGCTAGTTAGATCTCAGCATTCTCCTGGAAATAAAATTATTGCTCTCTGTTCTCCAGAGTCCATACCTATTTTATAGTTCTCAGAAATTCCCAATGAGCTTTACAAGGTGTCTCCAAGCAGAGTTCCTTGTGGTATTGTCTCCTGCGGGGCAGAAATCCCATAGGAAAGTGGAGTAGTCATGACGATTGTGTGATTTACAATCCACCACAGGAAACTTGTAGAATTCCTTAGAAAACAAAGTGGGTTCTACTATCTCTTGGGTCTGTTATTCCCCCTTGAGAAGCCTTTTTTATTATTCTCCCTCTTTTCCTCTTCTTGGCTCTTCACCACAACCCAGGATGACTACACAACCTATTTTCACCACCTGTCTTTTTTGCAATCATTATTACCTTTTCTCAGCTGCAGTTTCACCCTGAGGCTTTGGCAACTGAAGTTGTATAAATAAAACAGTTACTGTGCCTGGGCAACTTGCTACACTTACCACAGGCTGCCTCATATTGTTTTCTTACTAACATTTTAATCACTTTGGATTCTGGTTTGGATTGCACGTTCACTTCTTTTTCTCTTTGTTTCATAGAAGCCATTGTGCGATTAAAGAAGTAAAAGGCTATACAAATAAGTATTTATTGAACGCTGTTCCTTGCCCAGCATTATGTTAAATACAGATACAAATAAATGAGACAATTCTGAATTTTCCAGTTTTCTGTTCCAATGGATATTACAGCTCATAGAAGGTGAGAGTCCTAAGGTATACTTCATTGTATTTTATGGTGAAGCAATGATATTGTGAAAAATAATCATAGACTGTCCAAGTGTGTAACTTCTACACACAATGCACTTGACATTCTGCTTGTATAAATATAAGTGCTGCATTTATGTACCTTTTCATTACTTACACAGTTCTCAACTTAATGCAGTCCCTTGCATTAATATTTGCTTTTGAATAAAAATTGAACGTACAGCACATATCATTTTATTGGACACACATTATATGTCTCTAAGACAATGCTAAGCCCAAGTGAATGCAGCTTAAGTTTTTATGTGTTAAAAAAAATTGGGTAAGAGCTTTTACCTTTGAGTTATAAGAATATAGGATATTTTTATTTCTTTACATGCTTCTGCATTTTCCAATGGCCTAAAATGAAGAATAACACTTTTATATAAATATATATGTATGTATGTATATATATATATTTGTATGTTTGTGAATTTCTATATCCATATTTTTAATGGGACCTCAGGATATCATAAATTTATGTATCCTGCCTTCAAAAGTGTTATGTGCCATTATCTCTGTAAGAGGTCAGTCATCAGAAGCCCAGAAATATTAAGGGAACTTATCTAGATTTATTTAACCAGGAAGTGATGGAGGGGAGATCAGAACCAAGATTTCTCTAACTATTAGTCTTGCACTTTTCCTGTTTAAATGAAAATGACAGGTGGAATTTTGGGACTACCCTTTCCTCCAGCAGTATAGATATGTGCTGTCTACTTTGTGTTAAAACTGGCATTCCAAAACTTAAAGTATATGCAATCGAGGTTTGTGTGTTTGTGTGTCTACTGTCCTTAGTCAATTTAGTTATAGTGTAATCATTATACTATGTATCTGTACTCAATCTTTGTTCAGGTGTATGACAGTGAGAATGAGCATTGGGAAAGCTATAACAACAGGCTGAAGCCTAGTACCTGGCACCAGGAACTACATAAACACCATGGTAACCCTTTGGAAACACCAAAATTTGATAGCTTGTGAGGAAAAGTAATAGTTTACAGAACCATAAGTGTTTTCAGAAAATGTGAAATCAATGGGTTGGATTATATTTGTGGTAAGTGAAACAGGCTTTGGAAATACTCAGCCATTAGGAATATTAGTAATTCTAGATCAATGTCCACAAACCCATAAGCAAGTGAAATTATTTGTCCTGGTTAAATACCTCATACTTTGGTACATTTTAATTTTCTTGTTTGTTTATCCATTCACCAGTACTTATTGTTGCCATCATGGAACTAAGAACAAGAAATAAATTAAGAGGATAAGCCTGATATGCTTTCTAGTCTCATGGAACTTACAGGCTAGACCAGGAGATAGCCATAAAAAATGAAATATACAAATTTAAAATGTTAAACATCCCCTTTCATCTATTTTTTTTTTTTTTACTTTAAGTTCTGGGGTACATGTGCAGAACATGCAGGTTTGTTACATAGGTAAACAGGTGCCATGGTGGTTTGCTTCACCCATCAACCTGTCATCTACATTAAGTATTTCTCCTAATGCTATCCCACCCCTAGCCCCCCAACCCCCTACAAGCCCCAGTGTGTGATGTTCCCCTCCCTGTGTCCATGTATTCTCATTCTTCATCTCCCACTTTTGAGTGAGAACATATGATATTTCATTTTCTGTTCTTGTGTTAGTTTGCTGAGAATGATGGTTCCAGCTTCATTCATGTCCCTACAAAAAACATGAACTCATCCTTATGGCTGCATAGTATTCCATGGTGTATATGTGCCACATTTTCTTTATCCAATCTATCATTGATGGGCATTTGGGTTGGTTCCAAGTCTTTGCTATTGTGAACGGAACAGTGCTGCAATAAACCTACTGTGCATGTGTCTTTATAGTAGAATGATTTATAATCCTTTGGGTATGTACCCAGTAATGGGATTGCTGGGTCAAATGGTATTTCTACTTCTAGGTCTTTGAGGAATCACCACGCTGACTTCCACAATGGTTGAATTAATTTACACTCCCACCAACAGTTCCTTTTTCTCCACATCCTGTCCAGCATCTGTTGTCTCCTGATTTTTTAATGATCACCACTCTAACTGGCATGAGATGTTATCTCAATGTGGTTTTGATTTGCATTTCTCTAATGACCACTGATGATGAGCTTTTTTTCATATGTTTGTTGGCTGCATAAATGTCTTCTTTTGAGAAGTGTCTGTTCATATCCCTTGCCTACTCTTTGATGGGGTTGTTTTTTCTTATAAATTTGTTTAAGTTCTTTGTAGATTCTGGATATTAGTCACTTGTTAGATGGATAGATTGCAAAAATTTTCTCCCATTCTGTAGGTTGCCTGTTCACTCTGGTGATAGTTTCTTTTGCTGTGCAGGAACTCTTTAATTAGATCTCATTTGTGTATTTGGGCTTTTGTTGCCATTGCTTTTGGTGTTTTAGTCATGAAGTCTTTGCCTTTGCCTATGCCTATGTCTTGAATGGTATTGCCTAGGCTTTCTTCTAGGGTTTTTATAGTTTTAGGTCTTATGTTTAAATCTTTAATCCATCTTGAGTTAATTTTTATATGAGGTTTAAGGAAGGGATCCAGTTTCAGCTTTCTGCATATGGCTAGCCAGTTTTCCCAACACCATTTGTTGAATAGGGAATCCTTTTCCCATTGCTTGCTTTTCTCAGGTTTGTCAAAGATCAGATGGTTGTAGATGTGTGACATTATTACTAAGGCCTCTGTTCTGTTCCATTGGTCTATATCTCTGTTTTGGTACCAGTACTATGCTGTTTTGGTTACTGTAGCCTTGTTGCACAGTTTGAAGTCAGGTAGCCTGATGCCTCTAGCTTTGTTCTTTTTGCTTAGGATTGTCGGCTATGTGGGATTTTTTTTGGTTCCGTATGAAATTTAAAGTAGTTTTTCCCAATTCTGTGAAGAAAGTCAATGGTAGCTTAATGGGGATAGCATTGAATCTATAAATTACTAATATCATACTGAATAGGCAAAAGCTGGAAGCATTCCCTTTGAAAACCAGCATGAGACAAGGGTGTCCTCTCTCCCCTCTCCTATTCAACATAGTATTGGAACCTCTGGCCAGGGCAATCAGGCAAGAGAAAGAAATAAATGTTATTCAGTTAGGAAAAGAGGAAGTCAAATTGTCTCTGTTTGTGGATAACATGATTGTATATTTAGAAAACTCCATCATCTCAGCCCAGAATCATCTTAAGCTGATAAGTAACATCAGCAAAGTCTCAGGATACAAATCAGTGTGCAGAAATCACAGGCATTCCTAAACATCAATAACAGACAGAGAGCCAAATGATGAGTGAACTCCCATTCACAATTCTCTACAAAGAGAATAAAATTGCTAGGAATACAACTTATAAGGGATGTGAAGGACCTCTTCAAGGAGAACTGCTGAGAACACTGTGGACCCCCTGGTGGTGACTGAGCAACCCCAAGCTTCTGAAGAATTGGCCAAACCCAAGCTATCTGAAATAACAAAAAGAAATTGTTGATTTTTAACCTGTCAATTCTCTTAGAATTTAGTTTCCCCTAAATGAGTTATTTGTTTTGTGATGCTTGTTACTTACTGTATTGATTATATTTGAGAAAATGAAGAATAATGTGAAAAGCTGAGCTGTAACTGGTAACTTTGGCTCTGCTGAGCTGTTCTTGTAAAAATAGGAACCCTGTGTAAGGGACAAACCACTTAGCCTGACTGCCAGAGAGAGACGACAGCAACGTAATAAGTAAGCTTCTCATTGCAACAGCACGTAATAAGCTTCTCATTGCAGAGAGTGTATAAACAGACATGTAATGGAAAGGCCTAGTACTTAGATTCCTTTCTCAGAAAAGGCATATTGATTATGGCCCTGGAAAGAGACTGTGATCCTTATGGAGAGCCTATAAACGGACGCATGAAGGGCGTCTGTCTCTGTGGTTGAAATAAGGATGTAAAAGTCTTTCTTCTCCCATTGCTCCTCCAGGCCTGCATGGAGGACCCTCCTCTCGCAGCCTTGTGGTCAGGCTGGTTGTCCTGTGTCAGATCCTGTTCACCCTGCAGCTGTGAGCCAAGTCTGTTCTTGCTGATAATCATAAGTTTATGTTTAACCTCTATTCTTGCTAAGGTGTATGATTTGTATACTGACACACAGAAAAGTTATCTTTACATTGTTCTGCTTTTATAATACAACGTGGTGATTTTTGTGGACCAGTTTTGCAAATGTATTTTTTTGTATGATTATCACTACAGTGTTGTGTAGCCTCACTCCCCATCCCCTATTGAAAGGGTCCAATAAAAAACTGTGGTTTTTCAGGGAAACTTTAGGCATCCACAGAGCAGCATTATGTGTTGTCTCCCCTGGGCCCAGCTTTAAGGAAAACTGTTTCTTTGTCTTTTTTTTCCTTTTTCACCAACCACTCGATCACTTTGAGAGATCTTGAATCCATGTTGATATATTGGGAGCTGGTCTCTCTAGTAGAGAACTACAAACCACTGCTCAAGGAAATAAGAGAGGACACAAACAAATGGAAAAACATTCCATGCTCATGGATAGGAAGAACGTTTTATCTATTTCAAAGACACTTCCCACCATCTCCACCTGGCAACACATTCATCCTTCAGATCTCAGCTTATGTGATATCTCTTTAGTCTTCCTTTACTACCAAATATAAATTAATATTTTATTTCACCTAATAGACATTTTTAAATGACTTTTACATAAAAGAAAGGCAATATCCAATACTGCAAAGATGTGGAGAAAATGGAACTCTTGTACCTTGCTGGTGGGAATGTCAATCAGTACAGCAACTATGGAGAATAGTATGGAATTTCCTTAAATTAAAAATAGAAATACCGTATGATCCAGCAATCTCACTGCTAGGTATATACTCAAAAGAAAGGAAATCAGTATAGCAAAGAGATATCTGCATCCAATGTTTATTGCAGCACTATTCACAATAGCTAAGATTTGGAAGCTAGTTAAGTTGCTTGCTAAGTTTCCATCAA